TTCCAATTCTCTACAAATTCTTCTCGTCAGGCTGCTAAGATGATTCCCGGCTGGTGTAAATACATAGACACAGCGGGCTTCGGAGCGATTTGAAGCATGGCATTTGGTGGTGACTGGACGAAAAGGGGAATATCACTGTATTGAGGTGACGGCATGAGGTTTATAAAACTAATATAGACAGAAAGGAATGCCGAATGCCTTGCACGGATCACACCAGGCTCATAGCACATGCTCACAATACCTTATTTCCTGCAGTTAGGTCATTACTACTCGGAGGTCATCGTCCCAGTTGAATGAGTAATTTCGCCTGAGCTTTGCTTGCTAGTGTGAAGACATGATCGCGAGGCTCTATACCCGGCTAATCCTTTGTGGATAGTTTACCGGGTAGCCACTCACTTATGAGCGGGAAAAATATATCCGTCTCTGGTATTCAACTATTAAAATACTCGCGCCTAGGTCAAGCGACCGCGAGTCGTTCATCATGGGTTCGAACTCATAATGCTGAAAAAACAATAGGAGCTGAGAGGCTGGGCGCGTTTTTCTCTTATACCGAGCAAAGTACCACGTACATCCCGTTTGTCTACATCACCAGGAACATTCTATGTTATTCATGCCGAACCTTTTCAGCATTGCAAATTGAGCCTGTTGAAACCGTTTGCCCTCGTGCTTCATATCACAAACGCGTGCACACGGATATGCACAACATGCATCAAAAAATCACACACAACACTCGTGTCTCACTCCGGCATCGTGTGTTGGATAACTTGTTTATCTTGGGGTTCCTGGGACCTGGGCAGGTCTCACTTCGACAGCGTTGCCAGAACTCCGCATCTCAATACGCTATCAAAATACGCCGGTCTAATCATTTTCCTGCACCATTGTAGACAGTGCCAGTGCAACACAATCGCATCAACATGGGCCCACTCACCCTGCCTCTGATGCCTCTCATGTGTATCTAGTCATGATGAAGTCTCACAGGCGCCGGACTTCTCATCGCTGAATTCGGTACCGGGGCTGCCGCTGCGGAGTACTCGCAAGGCCGTCCAGAGATTGAATACGTGGAGTGTTTCCGAAGAAAACGTCCATTGCATGTGCTGCAATACACTAAGCATGGCATGAGATGAATTCGTCCCACAGAAATGTGATGTGCTACGTATTTGCATAAGCGCTTTGCAATATGCAGCTGCATAGGTTATGCACTCTCAACAGGCTGGTTGATTTTATGTGACAGATATATGCGGCTGAACAGCTGGTGACGTACTGGCCCAGTGAGAACGACGAGAGCTGTTCGCTCTGACCCGTGACCTCAGGATCGTGACGTTACTCATTGAGTCCTGACTTGGAAATGCATTTTTACCAGGCTCATCGATTTCATATGGCAGATAAAGGTCCCCGTTCCAGCTCTGGGATTTTACACGACCACACCAGCCGCGGGCGTACTGGACCGGTGGGCGACGAAACGAACATAAGATTGTGGCTGCGGCAGTTTGACGTTAGGATGATGACATCACACGGTTCTATGCACGATGTCCCGAATTGGAAACGGACTGGGAAATCGTGATTCAGTGTCTTTACAATTGAGGCGCATTTGTGAGACAAATATAGATGCAGAAGAAGGAAAGGCCGACCGAATATTCCTGAAGCCGTGACACTCCATTTCAACTTAGTCGGTCGGTAATAAATTGAATTTTGTCTTAATGGTCTTTCAACGTAGCCTGTCTCAGAAGACTGGCCTTCCCAACTGTGAGCATATGAATAACGAACGACCAACGACTACAAAAGGAGCTGCACTTGCAATTCATGGGGTTAAAAGGAATAACTGCCACTTAAGTTGCCATCCTCACTGATCAAACAGCCGCCTGAGATCACGTGTAGAACATCTGACTCACCGTATTTCATAAGTTTTTTACGCAAATAAATTCGCTTGAATCACACGGTCTCGAATATGTTGTCGGCCTATTGATCAGCAGATAATCGAAATTAGAAATTGTAAACAAGGTGACGCGGGGCTGTCCATACCACACCGCATGCATGATTTTACGCTGTAAATAGCTCCTGACAGTTATGTTGGAACATCATCCTACCTTACTATGCGTCGCCAAAGGCTCGGAAGTGGGCGTGTCTCCTATTCCTAAGCAGTATTGCATTTTACTGTATCGTCCGCTCTTATCACTAACGAAGATCTCAAAAAAGGTAAGCAATAAATATGTAAGCCTGAGCTCTGAATAAATCGTTGGTCGGTATCGTTAACAACGAGAGAGTGAAAGAATGTATTTGGTTGAAAATGCTTGTGTGGTGACGCTCTTGTGCCTTCACTTTGGCGGCAACACGGAACACAGTGGGAGGTAGCTGGGTTGCACGGGATTCGATATGGAAGATTTGGACTACACTCGGGATGGACATACGCGCGACATTTCCTTGCTTTCAGGAGGAGTGTTGACTGTGGGTTTAAACGAAAGAACGGCCCAAACACCGTGTGTTGCCGGTATTGCCGAAGTGCGCGAAGACGTATCATTGGTAGCCATATTTAAGCCTGCTGGTTGCATCGAAGCTATGAACACTTCCTTGTTGGTCGATTTGGAACCAAGACAGTACAAAGCTCCTTGTTGATGTAGCTGGCTGGATTCAAGCTAGGCTGTCAAATAATTGAAGGCGAGAAAGTTACGAAGTTTGGTGAGAATAATCCAGGTGTGAGCAATCATTTTCTTCTGCCTGACTATATGGTGCCAACAGGGGCCATGCTAACGGGGTGATTATGCGGGGCTGAGTCTCCAAATCATGATTAAAGACCCTCTCCAGCCATGTTAAGGTTTTATATAATGGGTTATGCCGAACTGAGAGGCCAAGAATCCCTCCCTCCCCTTCTGGTCAATGCAAGTGACCCATGTGGTCAAAACTGGTCTTCTGTGAGTCAGCCTCATCTGAACGCGGTTACGCTTTGTCATGAGAACAAGCTTCGCCCAAAAGCAGTTAATCTGCGAGGGATAGAGGATGCCTACATTAGCCTCAGAGAGAAAAAAAAACTAAAAAAGCTTCGGGAAAATGTGTGTGTTTAGTGCGGCCGGGTCAACGCACAGAAATACTTTGTCATGCTGTGAACATACTGCGATATACTGGCATGTACTAAAGGTCCGTTCGACTATGCATTGCACGTCTACCAAAGGAATAATCAAGGGACGTTGGAAGCAGGCAGAGGTTGACTTCAGGAAAAGTTGCTCTTATAACATCTTTTGACCCTCCCCACCACCCTAAAAACAGAAGCAAGTGCTGTAACGCGCGGTGGCAATGGTCAGGGGCATTCAAGAGTGACAACCCATTACCTTCTAATGATCGTGATGCATGCGAAGAACCCAAGCACAGATCGCGCATATTTCACCAGAACTCACCCGCCCATTCGGTGTCTCCGAACGCAGTTCGACCGAATACCGGCGGACACCAGAAATCCAGCTCTATTATCACCATTGAAAGCAGGAAGGAAGTAATGGATTACCACAACATCTATATTTTCTCTTAGCTTTTTAGCAGTTTCACAGATCTAATTTACTGATAAGCTTTAGCAGAAGTTAATTTTTTGCTAACTTTGCATACATCTCTTTAAGCATGGCTCATACTCACACCTAAGCATCCAACCTTCTCCCATTCTTATTCTTGAAGTCATCATGTGGAGTTCACACGCTCACTTGTCGCATACATCGATCATGATTGATGTAGTGAGCCGTTGCATATCTCACTTCAGTGAAACATCTCCAGGGTGTCGTCGGTGAATGAGAGACGGAACACTCGTTTTGAAGAGAACGCAATTGGCCATGAGATGTCTCGCAAAGCCTTTGTGACGAGTCTGGTAGAAGTTGTGTTTAGGAAAGTCGTCGAATCTTAGAACGCAGGCTGTAGGGATGCGGCTTTCAGAAACCTCTATGATGCGTGTTTTGCACTGATCACACTAACCTGTACTGATAGTAACGTGATCAGCAGATTCGATGGATAGCTGAAAACCACGCTGGCCAAGTAGCTGCTGTTGCCATTCTGTCACGCACTGAAGGAAACAATTATGTGATTTCTGTCTCTTATTGTTGCAGATTTCATTCATGTTGAAAAAGTCACATATTTCAGGTGTATTCGTGCTGCCATCCGAGCCTTGATTTTTTTGCGTTCCGAACGAGGAATATTAGATGAAGTGTATCTGACTGTTGGCACCGCTCTTGAATGTTTCATCGGTGCATGGATGATCACAACACGGTTATGAGTGGCGAAATTATGAAGAATGACTGCCACATGTCTGTCCAGTTCCCATATCCAGATTCAAAAGTATATTTACCTGAACATCAGGTTGGTGCTGTACAAAGCTGGCAGCCAGCAGTCAACAAAGTGATACTTGTACGCACAAAAACCATATAACTAGACATGACACCAATATCACAAGACTTCCACTGAAAGCCAGCACAGCAATAGGAACATCTGGCTGTACCAACTTCCCATACACGGATGGATATTCAGACATCTTTGGTTCGCACTCCCGCAGCTGTAGTTCCATCCCAGCCCTGACTAGAGCAGGGGATATTTGTGCGCCGGCAGCGGCACAAGCTTGCCGTCCACGTAGTGTTTACAGACAAGGCGGGCACAGCAGTCGGGAAACTCCTTCCTCCTATCTCCCCGAGCCTCGCGGCAGAACAGGTTATTGGCCTTCAACTTCTTGAAGTCCACCTGCTTTCTCACCGACGGACACCTGTAAAGTGGTTGCGTTAAATATAAACCCGATAGGACAGGGCCATCAAAGCAACCTTCGGTGCGCAGGATTGGAAACGCTGGCAAATTTATACTTTTGTCATAGTTTTTAGTTTACATTAGCATGTTGCGGACTTAATCAACTCTGGAAACTGGAAAAGACGGAGCTCTTGAATAGCGTGCAGGGTGTTTCTTTTTTAGATGAAAATAATTGCGCGGTGACCGTTGTCAACATCCCGACCTCCAACCGCTAACCGACGACTGCATATCACACTCACTGGAATCTGTCGATGTAGAGTACGCCGTTGTCCTTGACGCAGTGACTCTGTTTACAGCCAGAGAATGGGGAGCTCCAGACATCACCGATATTGTACTTCTTGTCAACCTGGTTGTCATGACATTTGGTGTCGTCACCTGTAGAGAAAGAGAAAAGACACGGGGCGAGAGTTAGCCCTCAGGATCTCGTAACCAAATCACCTGGCACGTTTCGTTTCGCTTTGCAGATACTTTGTTCTTGAAAAGCCAGTTTCCTGTCATCGTTGTTATCTGACTGCAAGACAAGGCAAGCGGTATCAATGGGATATATAAAGTTACCATGACATCGCATTGTTAGATCTTACCTCTGCCAACCGGGAAACGAAGGTATCTCGGGTACTGTGCACAGCACAGCTGCACACAAACAACAGCGATGGCCAGCAGTTTCCACATATTGCTGACTGAAAGTCTTGCACTGTAGCTGACCAGAGTTCACTCTCGTTTGCTGTCTGGTGTGGTCACCGAACTCTTCTGTATGCAGTCCCCAGCGACCGGCTCGTGATATATGCGGCACCGGACCGTGACGTCACGGTGCACAGGGCCGGTCGTGATCAGCGTAGTTTTCCGGGAGGAAATCCTCCCGAGAGGCGCTATTCTAGCATGTGCCTGACGCCCGGCGTTTGGGGGCCTTCACCGTGACGCACGTATTTGAGGTCGGACCGGGATGGGATCCGGTGTAAAGACCACCACTCCGCAATACTGCAAACGGCAAATAATCGGTCAGCGGAAACAAGCGGAGGTGGGATGCAAAATGTTTTGCCAGGCGTTCTCTGGACCCAGAAGACAGGAAAAGCTAACAGCACGCAAATACACATCTAATGCCGTCGACACTTGTAAGCGCTCTTGGCCCGCCGCGGTACGGCCCCGCTATGGTGCGATTTATCCATGCCTTGTCCATGCGCATTATTCCGCACTGTGATCATGTGAACACGCCAGTTCTTTCGGACGTTAATGTTTGGTGGCGTGAGCAGGGTATTGCTAATGAACCGCGATCTGGCTGGTACCGCGGTGAAGAAGAATGCTTTGGCAAAAAGACCTCAAGGGAAAGATGAACCATTTATCAACTGGTAAAGTGCGCTGATCTAGAGAATTTCGTGAAAACATTGGTCTTCGAGCCTGACGCTGGTTTGCCTTCATGCGTGTTGCAATTTGGTGGTGGCTGAAAGAAAGTTTGAGATTAATGCATAAGACAATACTGGATGCATTACAAAATAAACTTGACTACACTGTACCTCAAAAAAAATCCGTGAGTAGTATCTGATTCACGGCATTTGCTAAGAGTGGCATCCTCCTTGAATCGAGAGCCTCCATCTATTTCAATCATCCATGTTCAACAGGTAACTTCGCCTCTCTTCTCTGCTCGTGCCAGACGGACCGCAGGACCACGTCTTACGTGTTGCACATGGCGGTTACGTCACAGTCCTGTGTGAGATTGAAGCGGGCTGGTTGGCTTCCACCCGCTTGCCTATGGACGGGTCGTAGAGATCATGTTAATAGGACTTTAGCCTAGGGTCAGACGACCACATCCCCCCATACTTTCCCCTCCCCCACGCGGCTGCAGGCACAGAAATGCACTCGTGCAAGCATTTGCTATGCCGGTATGTTGTATGGGACCTGGAGTTCCCGAACGTGGACAAGTCACACCTTTGGCAACGCCGTCAGCTGCGGACAGCTCGGCAGGCCGCCGAAAACTGGCCGACCTAATCCTTTCCCAGGACATTGCTCACATCGCTGGTGAACACCGCGCGTGGGCATCAGCCCTGGCTTGCGCCCTGCTCGTGCGAGCCCAGACATAATGGGGCCTCACTGGCGCCGGACTTCTCGCCGCTGCATGCGGTGTCGAGGAATTTGTCGCGGAATCCTCGCCACGCTGTCCGAAGATGGAGCAGGTGGGCTGTTTCCTAAGAACACTTCCGATGCATGTGCTGCTGTGCACTAAGCCAGGTGGGAGATGCGTTCGCCCCAACTGAATGTGATGCCATGGATAGCTGAATCAGCGCTTCACAATGTGCACAGGTCATGCATTATTCACAGACTGTTGCTTTGAAGCGAAGATGCATGCATTCCATCTCGGGGATCATCTCGGCAGCCGGTCAGTGACGAACGCGTCCGGTGAGCGGGGCTAGAGCCGGCCGCCGCCGCCGGTGACGTCAGGATGGTGGGGTCACGGGTTGAGACCCGCCGCTGAGAGACTGGCTCTTGGTGGTTAGTGACGTCACTGCTGCGTGCGTTCGTGGGGTAAATATAGATTCAGAGGTGGAAAGATCTTGGTATTCGTGGAGTACCGACTTCCATTTGAGCATGACGACCGTTGATAACTGGACTTTTAAGGTGGACGGCTTGTGAACTGTTCTAGAAAATTAAGTTTCCCATGTGGCAAGATTCGCTGAGCTGTAGAAATATTACCAGACTTCAGCTAGCGCTTGCAGCGCAGGGTCTGTAAGGAATTAGCGAGCAGTGGATGGCACGGTTGCTGATTGAAAAATCTCCCGCGTTTCCATCTTGAGCATGTGAGTTGCAAAGACTACGTTGTTTTTGGTGCATATAATATACGTGTGGCTCATTTGCCAGACCAAATGAGCAAACAAGTAGCTCATACAAGGGAAGCGGCTAATGAGACACCCCATCCCCACTCCTTCCCTCCCAGTTCCTCATTACTTTTATTTTAGCACCGCAGATGCCTCCTGAGAGAAAGCTAGAAATCGCTGTAACCTTTAGAATGAACTACAGGGTGCAGTGCGGCGACACCGAATGGATGTATTCGAGCAAGTCGAATGTGCGATCTTTGCCAGCTCTCTCATAATGAGTTCCCACTGAGCTCTGCCCCCCCCCCCCCCCAAGCCTCCGCCGCCCTTAAGAACATTCTGCCTGCTCCCCTGACCCATGCAGTTCATGTTCTGAGTAAAAAATTTGAGGTTGGCACTGGGTCGTTTGCCTTGGCACGTGGCCCGACATTGACCAGGGACGTTGTCCGTCGGCGTTGTCCGGGTCAACGAACCTTGAACTGATTTCACCTCGCCCCGTCATTAAGTATAGCCTTGACCTCTGTGAACGCCATGGTATGATTCTGATAAGCAAGAACTGGCTCTATTGTTTGGTGCCAGCTGCAAGGGAATGCGGTCGTTATCGTGGATGCTAGAAAGCCCTAAACTAGTTCGTTAATGTGGGTGGTTTTCAAGGCAACTTACGCTCCTGTGACTTCATGCGACAGACGCCAAGACGAGGAATCCACGGCCATATTTGGCGGATATGCTGGTTAAAATTATAACTGTTTACATCTGGTGGCCAGATCTAAAAACAGAGGGTACTTTTACCATTAACCGGTTACGGCTGGCGAATACCCTAGAGCATACCTCAGATGTCGGGTTGGGCCACACCAATGATTTACAGCACGTTTCATGCGCGAATGCGCACAAAATCACTAGAATGGTCGTTAGGTGATAATGGTGGTTAGGTGGTAAATGGTGATATAAAGCATGAAACTGCGCTGTGTAAATCATAGCACATAAAGACACTAAAACAAAATGCGTTTTGACTATTTGCTCAACTGACTCTTATTGTGGTCCTTGGCCAGCCTACCGCAAGTGACGCGTAAGCACATAGTGACGCAATGCCCGGAATGTTACGTGGAGAGGAGCAGACGCCAGCCACTGAAGTCTGGGCTGGCCAGCAGACAGATTCAGCCATCGCCGATCACTTGTTCTGAGATCATTTAGCTCCCTGTCGCTTTCTGTTCAAAAACCCCTTGCTTGGTTCATGGCTCAAATTTGATTGACCGTCTTGTGTCAATAACTGTCTTCAGGACACTCTTGCGTTCTCACACGTCTTTCTGACAGACCTCCGTCCCAAGACCCTTGGAGTCGGTTCTCGCCTTCGAGCTTCGTGTCTAGAACGTCCCCTGGCAGCACCAGTGGCATTTAGCCATCTTCATTCCGGCCTAAGCACTCGGGGCTCGTGGTCTCGGCCACATATTGTTCTGGTATTTTGAGACATCCTTGAACCTCTCAGGTCACATACCAGTCTTCGATCCCACAGCCGTCCGTAGACTCCAGTCGCACGGGTACCGAAAGTCGATCGCACTTTGCTAACGCTCTATAGTTTTAGACCATCTGACCGTCTCTGGGTCCATTTATTGAACTCTGAACCAATGGACATTTTCTATCGCAAGCCACGTTGGGCTCCGTGCGACCATCGTAGGCATGTTTGTTCGCGGCCAGCTATCCTAATCGCGGTGCTTTAGAGTTGTCGGGCCCTGGCGGTCTTTGAGCGGCTCTCATATTGTCACGACATCGTCTAAGCGGCATGACCATGGACAAATGGTCTGATCAAGTGACAACTCCGAACGCCAAACCACGTACGCACACGGCTAATCCAAGATTGGTGGCCTTATCTGAGCATTGTCGTGAGAATGGTCACTTTGTGGCGCCTTCCCATCTCTTCAGAACTGTAGGGTGGTCCTCCAGCGGTCCTTACTGTAGGCTGAAGCGTCTCATTCATGAAAGATGACTCACCATGAAAGAAATGAAATGTTAATACTACGGTTCATAGGCTATGTTGCGTACTTCTTCAGTTGAACAGCTGCTGTAGAGAATGGCACTTGGTAAAATCCTGATCGGTGTTAAGTTCAACACAATAAATGTCTGAGCGTCTGTGAATGGAGGGAAAGTTTCTACCTTGGGGATAAAATTTGCGACCACATAAGCTGAAACGAAACGCAGTACTTTGGTAGTTATTGCAACTGCAGCTGTGTGTGGGTAGAATCGAAGAAGATCAAGAAAGGCTGCAAACGATACCTGTATATAACCTGCTAGTTTTGAAAACAGGCTTGTAAAAGCTTACTTTCTTGGCCTGCTGTAGCCTGTAAACCCCATTTCGATATGGCATTGTGTATTAGAGCATAATTACGAAAGCGGTCAACAACGTAGTGGCGCAATGAAGAGGCACCCATCTATTATCTCTGGGCTGGTGAGCAGGTGCGTGAGTGCTTACGTTTTGGGCCTGTCGTAATTATGTAGGCTCGGTTTGAATCCAGTATTTTCTGTTTATGGAAGGTCGTGACACAGGCCTAGCGAGGTTGGCGAGCTTTTGTGTGTCCTCTCACTTTCTCACGAGTAAAAGTTAGTTTAAATAGGCAATGTGGTCCGGCAAAGTTAACAATTCAGGGTCTGTTCAGTTTCTCGATCTGATGGCCTGGCAACCTCTGCTCTCGCGTCCTGGTGCATGCCCTATAGTCAAGCGGTCGGTTTGGCAAAAGTTGCACCTCGTTTCCCCTAAAACGGACACGTCAACGTAGAGTTTTCTCAAAGGTTGTGTGTCGCATAATGCCACGTATGACACCCCCACGGATGGTGCCCTCGCCGAATGACTGCGGTATTGTATTGGTCATGGTGTGCGGCGGCGCGATGACGAGCACTATACCTAAAAATAAAGCAGTGTGGTTTAAC